GACAAATTAGAGAGCTCCTCATTCGCAAAAGCTTTCTGAATCCTCATGCTCTCTGAAGGGAATAAGAGAAGGAAGTGAAAAATGCAGGCAATGATGACACTATAACGCTGCTTACTGTTAGCCTCTTTAGATTTTTATATTCAATTTCCATCAGTTTCCCGTGGGCTAGAAAATGTATTTTGCATTCCTAGGCGCCAGCAGCTCATTTGGCTGGGTGAGTGGGGGGGGCAGCATCATGTTTCTTGGCCGTGGGTGTCTGGGATTTCCCCATCTTTTCCTCCTTTGCGTAGACCCTACAATTCCCGCTCCCTGGCTTTCAAGTATAAAATCGCCTTATGGAGAGGTGCCCCAGAGGAGCTAACCTCCCTTTTTAAAATATTGGCAATATCCCATCTGTGTTTTCTATACACAGCCATATGTAACTCGTGTAGCCGGTAGAACTAGGCCAGCTTCAGTGCCTGACTTGTATGTTGCAGTCCCTCTGCCAGCAAAATAAATGCTTCTCATTTAGCTGGCACTGGATCAAGCAACTAAAGAGAAGTCCTTATTAACTACTCTGGAAAAATAAGCCTCTTTCATTTGCATCACAGGCCTTTAGTGTTCCATGGGAACATAACACACATCCAGATAGCCTCTGCATCCACGCTTAGGGCCCTATTGAAGTCTTTGTAGAGCAGAGAACAAGCTGACAGTTTACCTGGATCCCAAACACCTGCCTGATCCCAAGCAGAGAAGCAGCTGCTCTTCTGTATTGATGTATGGTACAGCTTCTCAGCTGCAGTACTGCGGCTGTCTGGCCATGCTGAGACCTCTGTAGCTCCCACTAGCTAAACCTCCTTATTAGTTGCCACCAGGTTGTGCAAGGTGCAATAATTCAGTACAAACAAACACAACATCTGCTCGCAAAACAGTCATAACCTGTGGCTAACAAAATAGGCAATGCAACTTGTCACTGTGCACTGATTGGGAATTTCTGTTGGACTTGTGGAGCTCCCCCCCACCCCCAGTTAATAGCTCTCTGCAAGATGCAAAACTGCACTAATAACTGGTTTTTGTATTTGTCTGTAGGGATAGTCAGGACTGAAAGTACATTGATTTGAAGCAAATAATGTTTTTGACATGAAGGGGTATAAAGCAGCCCTGGAACATATAAGACTTGATTGTTATAAGGCTTAAGGGAGCTGTCTTGGCACTAAGTGGAACTATGGTCAAAGAAGATAGTTTTCCATGTTTCCCTTGACAATAATGTTGGCAAAGTCCATGAATATCTGGTTCAGAATGGTCATGTACTCAGCTTGTAATGTTTAGAGGCACTACAGATCAAAGTCTTCCCCCAAGAAGCTTTTCTCTAGCTCTGAATGTCAAAATGTGGTGCTTCAAATGCCCAGTCACCTTTCGGTCTGAACAGGCTGCTTTGTAGGAGGTGCATGTGCAAAAGTGTGTTCAGTGTGAGAGAATCTTTCATTCAACAGCTAAGCAAATTGTGCAGAAATTGAAAGTGGGTTGTTTGCACAGGTCTGCCTGAGCTGCGATTAGTGCCCAAGACGTTGACAAAAAGAATTGATGTCATTTTGACGGGTGGTTGAAAATGATAAGACAATACAATAATGTGCAGCAAACATTATGAGCTGCGAGAGAACTCTCAGAGAAAGGTGGCCTTTTTCAAAAGAGTCATCTGAAAAAGCTCATAAATAATTCTGAGCTGGTTCGAAATTGAGTGAAAGGAGTGGTGGTTTAGCCATTACTGGTCTCCCTGTATGCAAAACGAGGCATAACCTGACTGCTGACAAGGAACCCAGACACACCCAGCCTTTTCTAATAAAAATAACAAATATTAAAAGCAAATATATAAACACATGCTTAGTAGTTATGGTGATATTTGTGAAACATGCAGGGTTTACTTGTCAAAGGCCCCATCTTCACAGTGAGGAACTTTTCGGTTGCAACCCACAATTCATTTCCTGAGCTGAACCACTTCCACTTGCTCAACATAACTTCGCCCCTCTCTCCTTTCTTTGTGCCTCCCCCCCCCCAAAAAAAAAATCTCCTCTGAGGGTTATGCAGACTTCTGGAACAGATTTGGGGCTGGGTGTGGGAGGAGAGGAAGTTTTGTGTGGGTGGAAGTTGTTCCACCCTCCCACATAGCTCCTGTTGCTGTTTTCCTCTCCTGGGGGAAGGGCTGTAACTCCTTGGTAGAGCAAATGCAGAAGATCCCAGGTTCAGTCCCTGGCATCTTCATGTAGAGCTGGGAAAGACTCTTGTCTGAGACGCTAGAGAGTCACTGTCAGTTGGTATAGACTGTACTAAGCTAGAGGGACCAGTGATCTGACTTGCCTATGAGGCAGCTTCCTATGCTGCTGCTCCTGCCACTTCACCATACCTGGTAACGATTAAAAAAAATCAACACCAATCATGAGTTTAGAATAAGCACATCTGTATGCTGGTGAAGTACATGTGAAACATACAGGCCTGTATATAGAGCTTCTTGGAACAGTGAATCAAATCTGTCTTGTATAATCTTCATTTTACTGCTCTTCATACCCAAGGGCCCAATTTTACTTTAATAACAAGCTCTCCATAATTTATATACTCTCTTCGGCTTTATAAAAATGTGGGCAAAAGAACTAGCACAGAATTTGCATAGTTTAGCCTTAATTTTCATTGTGTGGCCATAATTTTTGATACTGAAGTCATGGTTTACTTCTCATGGGAGTGGGTGCATTTCTTGTGTAGCCAAATGTCTGCCTTGCCTTGAAATCTGTTTGCCTTGGGACTGTCAAGAGGCAAGGACTCCTTTGCATGGGGGAAACAAAATGATTCCCTCGACCCTGAAACTTGAGTTTCTGGGAATGCATTTGGGAATCGCTGCACAAGCAGAGCATTTTCTTCCACACACACATATACTAAGGACCCCCTCTGTTTAGCTCTGGCAGCTAGATGTAGTGTAGTATATATTACAGTACTTAAGCAGATTATCAAAAACTGCAGAAACCTGCTCCACTGCTATTGATTTATTGGATAGTAATAAAATAAATATGAGTACAAATGTAAAATTTTGTATTGCTGACATTCTTAGGCATAGTTCTGTTCAGATGGACTTTAGGGCTGTAGTAGTGAGAAGAGCAGGCTTGAAAGACTGTAAATCAATGACATGATACCTTGCCAGAGGTAATATCTGTATTTTAAAAGATTGCATTAATAATGTTTCTGGGACTGCAGTGGTAAGGTGCTGGTAAGATCTCATTTGGAGTGAAGCTCCCACCACCTTCACATTTGGGGGCACCAGCATTGAAGAGGGATATTGGAAGCTTTGAAGCAAAGGAGAGGTACAAAGATAGTAGCACAGTCTAAAAGTCAAGCAAAGTATACTACTTTTAGCACACACAAAAATACAGAAGGGACACGTGTTGATTTTCACATTTTGTTTTTAAAAGGTAAGATGTGAGAGAGCCATTATTTACCCATATCTACTAGAATAGAAACACTGGATTTAAATTGTAGACATGTAGATTTTAAGTTAAACGTTAGGGAAGCCTTTCCAAATATAAAAAGAACCGCCTGTTTATTCATTCTGTTATTGAAGGGATTTCTTTCCCACTCTTCAGCTTTAACAAGCCCTCAAGGTGGCTTATAAGAGCAATAAAAACAAATAAAATAGAATTAATTAAAACAGGCAATAAAAATGCAAATGAGAAGCACCAGCAACCAGGAATTGCAAATGCTATTAAAAACATGGGCAAACTGGATGGACCTATCCTGGTGTCTGAATGATGGCAATGTCAGTACTAGGAGAAATTTCCTAGTGAGGGAATTCCACAACTGGGGTGCCATAGCAGAAAAAGCCCTCTCTGCTGCTCCTGCAACTCGTTCCACCTCTTGAGGGAGGTACCTGGAGAAGGACCTCAAATTAAGGTTTTAATTGATAGACAGCTTCATGTAGGAGAAGGCTGTTCTTAAGGATTTATGGATTATGTTTATGCTGAAGTTTTGAAAATGTGAATGATCAAATATCAACCAAGAATGGCTTAGCTATAGGATAGCCTATTTTAAAGTAGCAGCATAGACAAAGGTATCTTGGGGTAGGGGGGCTTTTAAGTTCCTAGATATCGTGATGCTTATCCTTCCTGCTTCCCTGTATGCTGTGTTCACCCATAGGCTGGCACTTTCCATGGTAGGATAGCAAGGTCACAGTGGATGACAGCACCCATCTGTCTAGCAAAGCTTTAAGTCTTTTGTTGGCTCTCCATCTGTGACCTGTAGGCCTACAGCATCTCATCACTTGGTCTCCCCCGCCCCCTGTTCCAAGCACATGTACTGGCTTGTGCCAAGATTACAAAAGATTTGTTTGCAAGAGGCTGTGCCTGCAACCAGAGTTGTAGCCTGCATTTAATCCTTACCACTACTGTATTGCTGACCTTGTCTGTGTTCTGCACATGGGGAAAGGTTAATTATGTGCTTAATGGCTGGGGTGGGGGAAGAATTAGAGAAAGTTGTGAGTGGTCTAGGCATTCTCCAAAGCACATTTGTTGGAGAATTCATAAACAGCTGCAGAACAGTTCTCCCAGCTGATGGCTGGAGATGCAGCTGTCTGAGGAAGGGCATATAAAGTGTGAAGGGAATTGATAAGAAAGGGAGTCTACTTGTCTGTTATCAAGGGGTTCACCTATTGCCAGAATCATCATACTTCTCAGTGTAGAATGCCAGCTGTCTGGATAATGGGCAGTAGGTGGATGGTTTGTGTCTATAATGTTGCATTATTTGGGGGGGAGAACCTTTTGGAGATTTGTGAGCAGTGGGGGGAATTGACTCACCTGCCCATGGTTTGGGCACCTCAAGCTGTCCACACAGCTTGGCCAGAGCAGCATTTGCAATTCTGAGCTGAATTTCCTTTTCTCCTTGCTCAGCTCGCAGTTTGAGCGTCCCTTAACCTAGGCAGTGTTTTTTTACATTCTTGTGCTGGCTCTTAAAGTATCTGATAACGGTGCTATTCCTGGAGCTGCTGCGAAGGGACATTTTGCTGGCACTGGGGAGGGCATAAGCTGCTACTCAGAGGCTATACATAAGCCTCTCTAAGAAATGAAGGTAGGCAGGAGGAAGGTAAACAAAATAATTTTGTCTTACATAGTGTTCAAACTGGAGAAAAGAAAACCCCATGAAGAGAGCAATAAAGAGTGCCACTCTGAATAAAATTGTCCTAGCCTTGTAGGGCACGGATTGCCATCCAGGTGCCCTAGACTCTGAGTATTTTCTTTCTTTTCTTTCTTTCTTATTAAAAGTAATTCTTTAGCCCTCTTCAAAAGAATGTTATGGGACAAAATGTGCAGATACCTTCTAAGCAATTTCTTTGAAATCAGTGGGGTTTTCCTAGTACTGAGGAATACTCTGTTATTAGACAGCCACAGCCTCTCTGTGTTTGTGTGTGTATAGGAGAGGGATGTGGTGTCTTATCTCCACAACCAGTACCAACAGGACCTAGGTGACTTCCCATGGTAAGATTGTCAGGGGTGGTTGCATCTCTTAATTTTGTGTTCTCCTACACTTCCCAGGACAATCATTTTGTGTTATGCTATGCCCCTTCCATGGCAGCCATCGTGTGACTGGTGCCCCTAGCACATTCTCAAAATTCAAAATGTGCCCACTAGTCTAAAAAGGCCCCTATTGCAGTACTTTCCTGGAACATCCTGGCTGTTGATTTGCTCCAGAGTCAATCAAAGTGTGTAAGCCTATCACTTACCTGTTAGGACAACAGTTCATGATGGGTGTTCACAAATCTGAACAGAAGTAGCAAGGTGGGTGGAAATGGTGTTACAACTTTCTGTTCACGTGTTGTGTATTTGAGAATATTTTAAACAGATTACTCCCTTGATCCAATATGCACATCTCTTCCTCAGTCTGGATGGTTAACATGAAAGACAGCAAATGCAATGTAGTGGTTAGACTAGAGTGGGGAGGCCTTGGTTCAAATCCCCAGTCAGTTATGGGACTTAGGGGGCAACCGGGGATGGGGGAGAATGGGAGACTACCTTAAGCTCTTTAGAAGAAAGCCAGGATATAAATGTGATAAATAATAAAAATATATGTTCCTTTAACTCATCCCCCTTCACTCCACAACCATTTGTAATGTAGATTTGAATGGACATTTCTCATTATAGGTGGGGAAATCAGAAGGTTGTGATGGTTGTAGTTGCTGCATTTTAAAATCCACTGGCAAAATTGAGTGATCTTGGGTGGGTGGGCCTATCTGCCACATACAGCTTTCACTCTGTCATGATATTGATGCCTGTAGATCATAAATTGATGATCCTAGTGCTGGCTTGGAATGGGCCAGGGGTGGGGGGAGAGTGATCTTAGTTCAGGGGCCTCTGGTTCAAGTAGCTCCTGGCTGACAGACACTGGCTCAGGCTGGTGTTGGAGCCAGAGTCTGGGTTCAGCACCACCGTGGCTTCTGCTGCTGGCCTGCTGATTCCTCCTCCTCTGTGTGCCCTGGTCATGACACTACCCAGACATGAATATGCCCAGCCTCTTTGCCATGGCAGAGGCAAGGCAGCTTCCAAAGTGAGAGACAAGTGCGTGCTGAGCTTTAGAGGCTGAAGTGCAGTGGTTGGCTGTACTCTTGAGATGTATGTAGCGGAGGTGTGAGTGATCCAAGCAGACAGCTCTGCTGACCCATTTCCCCCTCTGCTCTTCCTCTTGACTTTATTTACTAGTGCTACAGATTGCAGTGTAGACCCCAGCTGAATAACAATCTAGGCAGCCAGTCACTGGCAAAAAAACCCTTCATCCTTTACAAGCCAGGGCTTACCGCTCTAGGTTTGGCAAATGGATAACTAGATTCTTCAGGGAACCAGACATCTGTACCGGCTGCCTGTTTTGTGGGTCTTGCCTGAACTAGCTCCATCACACCCAGAATTCTAGACTCTTTTCCCAGAAGCCTTCTTCATATGCACATTTGAGCCTGGTTTATATGTTATACTCACCATGTGGAAAGTAGCCACATGTAAGTCAGGCTCTGAAAGCTTGTGTTATCCCAGATGCAAGCAAAGAGGACCATAGAGCCATTGATTGCTTTTCTCCATCTGCTGTTTATCTCAGGCTATCCTATCTCTCCCTTAATGACTAATTGCCCCTAGGTGTTGAAGTGGGGCAGAGCAAAGATAATTAGCTGCTTTTTGCCATATTAATCAGAAATATAGGAGTTTCTGATGTGTAATTGCATTTGGTCTGAAACTGGAAAACCTAGAGTGACACATCGCTCAAGTCCTTATTTGTACTTCCTGTCTTAAATTGAACTGGTTTTCCACACTAGCTTTTGCTGCAAAACAGGTTGGATTTTCACTACACAGATGCTGAGATTTGGAATGGCTCCACTTTGTGCCTGTATAGAAGCTCCAATGAGCTTTCAAGCTGCCACTCTTAACTGTTTCTATGTCTAGGAAAGACCCTGGTCCCAAACAGCTTGTCAGTCAGTGTGGACAGTACTGAGCTAAATGGATCAATGGTCTGATTCTGTGCAGGGGAAGGGCTTGGGAGAAGTTACAGCTTGCTTTCTGCTTTATTTGGTTGGCATAAAAGTATTGTGCTACTATTGCTTTCAAACTTTGGGTGCTGCAAGAAGCTGGCTAGCTTATTGTGGCTTGAGTTTTGATAGGGAGGGTTGGAATATATCCAAAACTTCCAGTGGGACATTTGCAAATCAAAGCCCCTTGGCTCAAAGCCACTGTCCGCAGTGCTAAAATATGCTTGGAGGTTGATTCTAGCCCATTGAACACATGGAGGCACTGAAGCAGTTCGGTGTTCTGCTTTTTGAGAACTCTCTTCCCTTAATTGCACTAATAAACCATATGTCAGGGTTGCTTTAAAAATAAATAAATAAGAGAGAGGCTGCTTAGGAGGCTAGGAAACTTCATTGCCTGTGGAAAAATGAGCTATCAGAGGAGTTTGGGGGGCAGTGGGGGAGCAAATTTAAAGCATTCTTTGTGAATTATGGATTTCAGAGTTCTGCTCTTCCACCTGGAGCTGTTCTGAAGTGTGTGAAGGTCTCTGATGCCTCTGTGTTCATGCTAGGAACACAGGATATGAATCTAGGAAGCTGCCATATACTGAGTGAGAGCATTGGTCCATCTAGCTCAGTGCTGTCTACACAAAATGGCAGCAGCTCTCCAGAGTTTCTGACCCAGGGGTTTTTCTCAGCCCTTCCTGGAGATGCTGGAGATTGAAGTTCGGACCTTCTGCGGATATGGCAGATGTTGTACCACTGAGCCATGACTCTTTCTCATGAGACTCCCCCCTGGTATCAGAAGAGTTGGCCCTGGAGAAGCTCAGTCAGTCATTGAAAATGTGCAAATTTTGGGATCAGCAGTGAAACTGTTTTGGCCAAAATGGTCCTCTTATCTCATCAAGAAGAGCCAATGAGATCTTGCTGGACCCAGGAGATATTACCCTTTGCCATCGCTGCTGCCTCTGAGCATTGTGTCATACCGTACAAAGGCAGAGAGAAAAGAACCACAAGAAGCTTGGCAAGGAGATAGGGAAGAGGTGTTCTTTAGCAATATGTATTACATAGCTTAATAAAAAAAGGAGAAAAAAACACTTTGGAGAAATAGAAACTGTTCAGTTAGATACTTTGTTGGTATAAGCGTCTAAAATTAGCACGAGAAATTAAAATGCTCTTACAACTGGCCTTCAGCCTTTTTTCAGAATTTTCCAAAAATATTTAGATGCAAGTGTGTGTGTGTGTGTGTGCGTGTGTGTGCGTGTGTGTTTACAGTGGGCAGTGTTAGAAACCTGGTTCACATTCATATTAGCTAGCAGCACATAAATTGTTTTGTCTTGATTCAAAGTGCGGAAATTGTGATCACCCTAATTATAATTTGCAGACTCTGGACTTCATTTGGGTCTGAAATGCCCCAGAGGGTATCAAAGCCAGGTCCAAAGAGGGACAAAAACAGCACGCCAGACTCAGTCTAACAAATCACATTTTAAAAGGCATAGAAAAGGCAATAGTTTGCATGGTGGCTACAGGAACGCATACTTTTAATGACAAATGGTACAGATCTGCAACTAGTATGGGATTAATTGCTTTGCATTACTTCTTTGAATGATTTGGTAGCAGTGAGATGAAATGTAAAAGAAACTTGAGCTAAAACAAAAGATATGCTGTTAAGAAAGCTTGCCCTACAGAAGCAGTGAGCAAAGTAACTAGTTGTGTTGCTGACATAGTTGGTGGTTAAATGACCTGACTTCCCCTCAGCGCCTCCCTGTATTCCTCTTGATTCAAAATGCCGAAGACTCAAGATGCTAAATCCACTTCTCTGCACATTGCTTGTTTTTTGTTTTGTTTTAAACCAAGGTTAAAGCATCGTGAAGCTTCTCTGGGAGGTTAAATCTGGCAGTTAAATTATTAAATACAGTGGTACCTCGGGTTAAGAACTTAATTTATTCCGGAGGTCCATTCTTAACCTGAAACTGTTCTTACCCTGAGGTACCACTTTAGCTAATGGGGCCTCCCGCTGCCACCACGCCGCTACGATGCAATTTCTGTTCTCATCCCGAAGCAAAGTTCTTAACCCGAGGTACTATTTCTGGGTTAGTGGAGTCTGTAACCTGAAGCGTCTGTAACCTGAGGTACCACTGTATGTATATGAGGTAAACAAGCGTAGTAATATGTCCTTTAAGAAAAAGTCCTTGGCATCAGAAACTAAAAGCCTGAACTTAACACTTAAACCCTTACAACACTTAAAGGGGTAATTGAATTGGAGTTCTCTAAACATAATACTCTGGTGGGCGAGACCGACCATTCACTAAACAGTGGTGAGATTTCCATATGCCCTGTTTACTTTCATATTTTGCTTTGGGGATGTTTAACCTTGTTCCTTTGAGGCTTCTCTGACATGTCCAGCATCTGGCTCCGTTATTTTGTTGGTAGGTTCTTTATGGGTACATCTTTTTTGGACTTCTGGTCACCTGTGCCACCTTCTTGTCGTTCTTAGAACACAAGGTGAGTTGTATCAGGCTTGTGGTATTGTTGTTGGTTCTTCAGATGTGGCACTGTCAAATTAGGACCTTCTCTCCCTTATTATTAATGCAGGTGCCATTCATGGGACTCTTTGTCATGGCCATCCTTCTCATTAATATCCAAGTCCTGTACTTCAGTTGTCTTATCAGCAGGTGCCAGAGTCCTTAACCTAAACAACCTTTGTTGTTGCACTGAAGCTTCCCAGTGTGCAAGGTCAAGCCATATCAAGCCATACTTTGTTCTTGTTTAGCTTTCACAGCTTTTTAGTTCTAAGGTTCAGGAATATAATCTGAGTCTGAAGTCTAAAATATGAATCTGACGGTATCTGAAATAAGAATCCAGGGCAGGAATGGGGAGCCTGTAGTCTCTCAGATATTGCAGACTACAGCTGCCATCAGCCCCAGCCAGCATGGCCAGTGGTCACAGATGATGGGAATTCTTATTTGAAGGGCCACAGGTTTCTTATCTTGGCCTAATGTCTTTATACATGTGAGTCTGGGATCTTAAATATGAGCTTTTGACAATCTTAGGACCAAAGTGATAATATAATTTAACAAACATGCAGTGTACTTTATTTTTTTTATTTAAAAAGTATCAAAGTTCAGTTAGGTAAGGAATATATGAGCCCTCTTCCCTGCCTTTATATTCAGGATTATTCACATGCTATCTCATGTTCAGTGTAAGTATATAATGCAATAACTGGAGAGAGGATACTGCATGTTGCAGGGCGTTGCACATTGTTCCCTGCTCACCTCTTCGAAGGCTATACATGCTACATGGAGAGAGCCCAGGGAGAGAGGGGAAAATAGTGGAAGTGAACAGCTGGCTTCGCAAATGGTGTAAACAGGAACGGTTTGGATTCTTAGATCACGGACTGCAGTTTCTTGAAGATGGACTTCTGGCAAGTGATGGGCTGCACCTCACAACGGTTGGGAGAAATGTTTTGCCAAAAATCTCAGAAACCTCATCAGGAGGGCTTTAAACTGACTAATGTGGGGGAGGGAGACAGTGCTCCTGAAGGTAGGAGTCTATCAATTGATGAAGATGATCATCCAAATGTCATAGACCAAATGGAGCAAACAGCACACAGACCTAGTGGTGGGAGGAAAAAATCCTTAAATAAGAGTCACGGGGGAATGATTAATTGACTTCAATGTCTGTACACTAATGCGCAAAGCATGGGAAATAAACAAGATGAGCTTGAGCTCTTGGTACAGCAAACTAAATATGACATAATAGGCATCACTGAAACCTGGTGGGATAAGTCCCACGATTGGAATGTAATAAGGGGGGATACAATCTATTTCAGAGAAACAGACCAGACAAGAAAGGAGGAGGAGTGGCGTTATATGTCAGGGATGTGTATACCTGTGAAGAGATCCAAGATTTAGAACCTCAAAGCCAAAGTTAGAGCATTTGGGTCAAAATTAAGGGAGAGAAGAATAACAGTGACCTCATTGTGGGAGTTTACTGTAGATCCCCAAGCCAAACGGAGGACATAGATGATGCCTTCCTGGAACAGATGGCCAAGCATGCAAAAGGAAGGGAGATAGTAGTAATGGGGGACTTCAATTACCCGGATATTTGTTGGATGTCAAACTCAGCCAAGAGCATAAGGTCAAACAGATTCCTCACTGGCCTTGCAGACAACTTCATTGTCCAGAAAGTGGGAGAAGCAACAAGAGGAACAGCCATTTTAGATCGGGTCCTAACCAATGTTGATGACCTGGTTAGTGGGGTAGAAGTGGAAGGATCATTAGGCGCGAGTGATCATGCTCTTCTGAAGTTTACTATACAGCGGAAAGGAGCAGCCAAGCATACTAGGACTCAATTTCTTGACTTTAAGAAAGCCGACTTCATAAAACTTAGGGAAGTGCTGGGTGAGATCCCATGGACAGTAATACTAAAAGGAAAGGGAGTTCATGATGTCTGGGAGTTTGTTAAGAGGGAGATACTAAAAGCACAACGTCAGGCAATACCAATGAGACAGAAACATGGAAGGTGCCTAAAGAAGCCAGGGTGGCTATCTAAAGAACTTTTAACTGAGTTAAGATTAAAAAAGGATGTGTACAAAAATGGAAAGGGGGGAAACCACCAAAGAGGAATTCAAACAAATAGCCAGCACGTGTAGACACAAAGTCAGAAAAGCTAAAGCACAGAATGAGCTCAGGCTTGCTAGAGAGGTTAAAAGCAACAAAAAGGCTTTTATGGGTATGTCCGTAGCAAAAGGAAGAACAAAGAAACAGTGGGGTCACTCAGAGGAGAAGATGGTGAAATGCAAACAGGGGACACAGAAAGAGCTGAACTCCTCAATGCCTTCTTTGCCTCAGTCTTCTCCGATAAAGAAAACAATGCCCGACCTGAAGAATTTGGAGCAAATGATTCAGCAAAGGAAACACAGCCCAGAATAACTAAGGAGATAGTACAAGAATACTTGGCTAGTTTAGATGTATTCAAGTCTCCAGGGCCAGATGAACTGCATCCAAGAGTATTAAAAGAACTGGCAGATGTGATCTCAGAACCACTGGCAGTCATCTTTGAGAATTCCTGGAGAACAGGCGAAGTCCCGGCAGACTGGAGGAGGGCAAATGTTGTCCCTATTTTCAAAAAGGGGAAAGAGAGGACCCAAATAATTACCGCCCAGTCAGTCTGACATCAATACCAGGGAAGATTCTGGAGCAGATCATTAAGCAAACAGTCTGTGAGCACCTAGAAAGGAATGCTGTGATCACCAGTAGTCAGCATGGATTTCTGAAAAATAAGTCATGTCAGACTGATCTCGTTTTTTGACAGAATTACAAGCCTGATAGATGAAGGGAACGCAGTGGATGTAGCCTACCTTGATTTCAGCAAGGCATTTGACAAGGTGCCTCGTGATATTCTTGTAAAGAAGCTGGTAAAATGTGGTCTTGACTATGCTACCACTCAGTGGATTTGTAACTGGCTGACTGACCGAACCCAAAGGGTGCTCATCAATGGTTCCTCTTCATCCTGGAGAAGAGTGACTAGTGGGGTGCCACAGGGTTCTGTCTTGGGCCCGGTCTTATTCAACATCTTTATCAACGACTTGGATGATGGACTCAAGGGCATCCTGATCAAATTTGCAGATGACACCAAATTGGGAGGGGTGGCTAACACCCCAGAGGACAGGATCACACTTCAAAACGACCTTGACAGATTAGAGAACTGGGCCAAAACAAACAAGATGAATTTTAACAGGGAGAAATGTAAAGTATTGCACTTGGGCAAAAAAGGAGAGGCACAAATACAAGATGGGTGACACCTGGCTTGAGAGCAGTACATGTGAAAAGGATCTAGGAGTCTTGGTTGACCACAAACTTGACATGAGCCAACAGTGTGACGCGGCAGCTAAAAAAGCCAATGCCATTCTGGGCTGCATCAATAGGAGTATAGCATCTAGATCAAGGGAAGTAATAGTGCCACTGTATTCTGCTCTGGTCAGACCTCACCTGGAGTACTGTGTCCAGTTCTGGGCACCACAGTTCAAGAAGGACACTGACAAACTGGAACGTGTCCAGAGGAGGGCAACC